GATGGGAACAAATACAGAGACCCACAGCCAGACAATATGCAGAGTGAGAGAGACTCAAAACATCCCTATATGAGATCTATCAAATCCCTCCTCTCAGGGATCGGGAACCCACAGAAAAGGAGGAGGATCCAGTGTAAGAACCAGAAGGGATGGAGGATACCAAGGAAATACGGTCCTCTAAATCAACAGGAATGAGGCACATGTGAACTTAAAAATCTCCTATTCATCTGTACTGGCTAGTTTTATGTATTACCTCAACACAAGCTAGAGTCATCAGAGGAAGGAGCCTCAGTTAAGAAAAGGCCTCAGTGAGATCCAGCTGTAAGGCATTTTCCCAATTAGTGATCAATGGGGGAGGGCCCAGCCCACGGTGGGTGGTGCTACACCTGGGCTGGCAGTCCTGGTTCTCTAAGAAGGTGGGTTGAGCAAGCCATGAGGGGAAAACCAGTAAGCAGCCCTCTATGACCTTTGCATCAGCTCCTGCCTCCAGGTTCTGGACCTGTTTGAGTTCCTGTCCTGACTTCCTTTGATGATGAATAGCAATGTGGAAGTGTAAGCTAAATAAACCCTTTCCTCTCCAATTTGCTTTTGGTCATGCTATTTCATCATAGCCATAATAACCCTAACTAAGGACAATACATTAGAATTAAATATAGTCCTGGATTTCAAGATCTTGAAAACGAAAAAGCTCAGTCCTTAAAAAATTTAGTCCTGTATAATCAAGATCTTGAAATAAATTTAATTTTTTATCATTCCCAAATACTTACATTTCTCTATAATATAGAGGGTACTCAGGAGTTTATACTGTGACACATTTCATTTTTTTTTTTTTTTTGGTTTTTTGAGACAGGGTTTCTCTGTGTAGCTTTGCGCCTCTCCTGGAACTCACTTGGTAGCCCAGGCTGGCCTCGAACTCACAGAGATCCGCCTGGCTCTGCCTCCCGAGTGCTGGGATTAAAGGCGTGCGCCACCACCGCCCGGCGACACATTTCATTTTTTATTTCTGTCCAAGCTTTATTGCTTTTTAATATAGTGAGACAAAATCTTTCCATCTTCTAGTGCATGACAATACAAGCATCTAAGTAGCAAAAGGTTCTATTTAATGTATATACACACAGATCCCTACTTTATATGCTCAACCCTTCATATCAAATGATAACTAATTTTTTTTAAGATTAAACACTCCAAAAATTCCTTACCAAAAAATGTTAGGGAAAGATCTCTCAAGGTCATCAAAAAATAAAGAAAAATCCAGAAACCATTCCAGTTAAAAGCAGTCTAAGAAGAACAGACAACTAAACATAACATAGAACTCAAATGGTATCAGAGAACAGGAAAGGGTACAGTACGGCCTTCAGTTAACAACACATATGTATCACATGGCTACAAACATACCTTCTTGTTCTGATAGGAGAAACTTGGCACAAGAACAAACAGGAACCTACACTTACTTTAACATTTGTCTACAAATCAAAGCTGTTCTTTAAAAAAATAAATTGAAATCTACTTGAGACTGAAAGAGAATGTCAGGGAAGATGGGTTAATCATCCAGTAAGCACAGTAAGCACATATTTCTTTTAAAATAAATAAAACAATAGGCAACTCAAACAAAACTATCCTCAAAATCTGTAATCAGTCTAAGTATAGTAAACATCATTAACAACTCAGTTACACAAAATAAAGATATCTATTATACACGCATCAGTTTTTGCAGCTCAGCAATTTGCAAGAGAGCTAGAAAATTGACACTTCAAATTAAAATTCTTTTAGAGAGTAGATCACTTCAAGGGCCATAACTGAATGCAATATATGTATTCAGCACTTTATTGCACTTTCTGTTAACCAAAAATCAGACTAAACAGAGAAGGTAAGAGGGAAGGAGAGCAGAAGGGAAAAGAGGAGACGGGAGGAAAGGGGGAAAGCTAGCTAGCATGCAAGTGCAGCAAAAACTCAAGATTCAAACTAACAGAAGCTCAGAACTAACACAAACACAAAACCAACAACTATGACAACAAGAAGCTAAGAAAGGTGGCACACACCTGCAATCCCAGCACTCAGGAGTCTGAGGCAGGAGGACTGCCACGGGTTCAGATTAGTTTGAGTTACAGAGTGAAACCCTGTCTCCAATAAACAAATAAAGATATGAACTAAAAGATACTGAATAAGATTCAACATAACTAAAATGCAATTCTGAAAGGTAGAAGGAAATTATAACAAAATTTAGAACTTTTTAAATGTTAAGAAAAAATCCAAAACAGCAATTATATGCCAAAAGGAGTAAGATATCCTAGAGTAAGACACCCAAAAGAAGTAATGTTTTTTTATTTAAAGTTTTAAGTTTTTTGAGGGAGATGCGACCAGGAAAATGGCTCAATCGTAAAATGTGTGTTGTGCAAGTAGCATGACCCGAGCTCAGTCCCCAGAACCCACAAAATGAAAAGCCGGACATGGAACTTGCCCTTGTAATCTCAGTGCTGGGGAAGCAGAAACAGGTGGATCTCTAGGTTGCTAGCCAGACAACCTAGCCTACTTGGAGAGCTATAAGGAAGTGAGAAACCCTGCCTCTGAAAAAAAGTAAACAGCACCTGAAGTGACAGCATGAGAGTGTCCCTGGTCCACATGCATTTACACATACATGCATGTACAGCTGCACACAGTTATCAATTTTTTAGGTTAAAAAATGATACCCTTGCCTGGCAGTGGTGGCGCACGCCTTTAATCCCAGCACTCGGGAGCCAGAGCCAGGCGGATCTCTGTGAGTTCGAGGCCAGCCTGGGCTACCAAGCGAGTTCCAGGAAAGGCACAAAGCTACACAGGGAAACCCTGTCTCGAAAAAAAACAAACAAACAAAAAAATGATACCCTTATCTCTTTATTCTCCAAGATATCTGCCTGTACGTATTGAATACATTTTTAATTCAATGTTTTATTAGTTTGAGGGAGAGGAATGTGTCCTGTATGCCATGATGCATATGAGGTCAGAGGACAACGTGCAGGAGTCAGTTCTCTCTTTCCAACATGTAGATCCTGGGGATAGACGCAAGTCATCACGCTGGCAGCAAGTGCCTTTACCAGAGTCCTCTTCCCTGCTCCTTAAACGCATTTTTTAAATGACTGATCACAATATAGCTAAATATTCTCTCTAAGACTATCCAAAAGCAAATGAAATCAGCAGCCGCTTTTCTATAATTATCGTGTCAGAAGAAAAACGTTATTTGGGTCTCTAAAGTTTCTAAGAAAAGTTTAAATTCTTAAAATTGCTATTTTAAACACTAAAATACCTAGGACAGTAACAGCCATGGCTTTCTGTAAAATACCACACTGAAAAACATGTTTACTAGTGTTCTTACTTATTCAAAGAACTTCTTACACATTATTAAATGATTCCTACAGTAAGCTATTAGCCATATCCACCATACCGGTTTTCCTGTATATGGAGAGAACACATAAAGTCCACTATCTTTGCAAATTTCAAGTAAGCAATACAGCATTACTAAGTCTAGTCACTACCCTATCTGTTAGCTGTCTATGTATTACATTCATCTATATAACTAAATGTCATCCCTTGACCAATCTCTCCCTATTGCTCCCATCACCTCTATATCTCTGGAAACAACAATATTACTCTCTGCTTCTATGAACTCAGTATTTCTTAAGTAGTACTTCTTAAAAGTACATATACAAACAATGTTTTACATGTAACACAACTTCTTTCTAGGATTGCTTAACAAATGTATAAACTATAGAAAAACTTAACACTGATTGTAAATATGGAAATTTCACTAGAAACACATATATGTAATTTATTTTAATCATGTGAACTTTTACTTTTACCAAAAAAAGCAATGAAAAAAATAAAGAACAAGCTAATATTTTTCTAACCCAAAATCCTAGTTATAAAGACTGAGTGAATTCTTCCCACCAGCAATATCAATTAGAAAACCTAAAATGTGACTCATTTCATCTTCATGGTCCTTGTGGATATTTATAAAAAGATTCCCTTCTCAAAGTTATAAATGATATTGTAACTTTAAAACCAGGCTTCAATTCTGCAAAGACAAGAGTTGCAGTTTTCTATGTATTTTATATTCCTCAATGCCACAAAATCTTAAAAACTTACCAGACTCTAGTAAAAAACTACAAAGATTAAAAACTAATGAAACTCAAGATATCTTCACACTCCATTTTAGCAGACATTTTATATACCATTTAAAATGACTTGAGGAGGCTTACCCATAAGCCTGAGAATCTGAGCTCAATCTCTACAACACACAGGAAGGTGGAAGGATTGAGTCAACTCCAAAGTTACCTCTGACCTCTACACATAAGCCCTGGCACACATGCCCCCTCCCACACACATACACACATCATACACTTAAGAATAATAAACTAAATTTAAATAATTCACAATAAAATAAAATGACTTGAAATTTTATATAGTATTTAATGTATTGGTGATGACAGTATGGTAGGTAATACAACTCCAAAAATTTGTTGTTACATGAAATTTTTCTTTCTATATATTTCTATATAAATGATATAAAAAATTTCATATATATTCAATTTTCTTTTTTCTCATTTTTAAATTATTTTGCTTTTGTATTAAGTAAATGTGTTATTTTAAAGTTTTTTAACCATCACAAAAATCTTCATTCTCCAGAAAGAAATCATAAAAATGAAGAGATATTAATAACAGATATTCCAAAGATTATTATTTGCAAGGGAAAAAGCTCATAAAATATAGGTGAAATCAATTAAATTTCAAGATTAAAATCAATTATATATTTTAATCTCAATAAATATTTAATATTCTAACTTATCAACATATTCCCACAAAATAAAAATTATTATTATCTATCCTACGTCAGATGTCAGATTATCAAGTATAAATTAACATAAAAGCATTTAACTTTTTACACACCACCAACACACACTTGTGAACTCACTTGGGTAAATATGGATCTTTCCAACAGCAGCAGCAGTTTCTACAAAGTTATTTACCTTGTCCTGGTTTTGCAGTTACAGCTGCTCCAGCAGATGGCGGCTCAAACTCCTGTCAATTACAATAATGTTTAAGTTATACAGTCCCTAATACAATGTATAAGTTGTAATGAAAAAACAGTAATGTCACAGTTTTACCTTTGCTTTCTTTGAGTCTGGATCAAATCTTTCAAGAATTAACTTAGCTGTCTTATAAGTTTCTTTTTCCATGACTTCTTCAAGCTAAAAACAAAAATTTCCATAAATTGTTATATTTTGAAACATATACTATTTATTTTTATAAATCTTATTCAAGGGGTATTAAAGTATCAATCTTGGAATCAAACAAAATAAAGTCACTCCTCTCCTATTTGTACTTATATTCGCAAATGTATCTAAATAGAAAGATTTCCAACAATCAAATCATTAAAATCCAAGCTTTTAAAATAGTTCCTAACCTCTAATAACACTGCTTGTATTTTAGCAGCTTTACTGCAAGGAAATACCAAATATCGCTAATTGTTTACATATAATGAGGAGAATAATTACATGCACCAACTTCAATAATGGAATGTGCAAAAATCTATCAGCCATCATTATTGGAAGTTATTAGACATGACAAGCAAATGACAGGCAATTCCTCAGATTTATTTCCTCATAGCACTTAATGCTATTAATTTAAGAAGGTCGTTAGCCAAGAGCTTTACAAAATAAAATCTCTGTGCCAATTAACTGCTGTCAGCATCGATTTTAGATTATTTATTAGCAGAAGCAATTAGCTTGCTGCAAATGCAATGAGAACTCACTAACTGGGAGAGCAGCCATGGAATTTGCTCAAGTGACTCAAAAGCTAACGTCCTCCCCTCCTCTTTTTTTACTTAGATTCAAACAACTTCAGAAGAAAAAACCAAACACAGAACGTAAGTCAATTTTTACTGAGTTTTATGCTCACACTAGGGGCTGTAATTAAAATACTTCATTGTTATAGCACTTTATTTACAATGCTCTCAAGTCACTTTATAGTCTAAAACAGGGGTTTGATTTTAAAAGTAATCACTAGTAAAATATCTTTTCAGCAGAAAAAGTTGAAATTTAGTATAAATTTAGTATAAATCAGTTATGACAAATAACTACTGTGCAATATAAAATGCTTTTGGAAAAACTGGAACAGGATCTTTTCCTTCTCAGTGACATATAACCACTTATATTCATTATATGTCATGTTCATTCCAAGGATACTTATTTTAAAAAGCAACCCAGACCACATTTACTTAGTTAAAGCATAGCTCTAAAAGAAACACAATAGAAGTTAATTGATTCCCCATTAAATGTTCAACATTTAAGATGCCAAGTCCTTAGATGATTTATAAATCTAATTTAGTAAAACTGAAATATTTTACTAATTATTTCAAAATTATAATAAATTCTCAAGCAAGCTCAATTTTATGATGTAAAATTCATTTTGGACTAGGGAAAATTAAGAATGGAGGTAGAGAAAGAGTATCATGAAATATATGCCCAAATCAATGTCATCATGGATATTAAAGAATTTAACCTCTGATGCTAATAACTTTTAGATCTGTTGTACTATAACAGACCTCTCAGTAATGACAGAAATTCTCTACACTGGCACAATAGAATATGGTAAGTGAGCACTTAAAATGTTGCTTTATGACCTACAAATTAAATTTACAGTTTTATTTCACGATAAATAATGAAAATGTAAATAGTCAATGTGGTAAGAAGCTACTGATTTGGCCAATACAGGTATGGATGAAATCTACTGCTAGGTTTACAAAGACTGGCATATTAAGAAAATTAAGCCAGTCTCAGAAAAAACAGGTATTGTATGTTTTCTCCTGTATGTGATTCTCAGATTTTAGACAAACACAAAACCATGTGTACATACATGACAGGAAGAAAAAGTGAAACTGTCTATGGGAACAAAGGGGACTAATGAAGTGGGGTGAGCAGAGAGATATGAGAGGGGAATGTGCTCATTATACAATATATATTTGTATGAATAATATATATGAATAATAATAAATATAATCAATATATGCAGTGAAAGTTTTTAAAAGACAAAAATGTTTTAAAATTTTAAAGATTACATACAACTATAATCTTTAACACAGAACTCAAAAGTCAAAATGCTATTTCAACAACTGTAATTCCTAGTAGATCAGTCAGCCTTAAGTATTCACTTGTGTGTCTGTGTTTCATTTATTTATTTCAATTAAGATAATTCTTAAGGCACTAATAGGTACAAACCCATTCCCCTTTATGTTTAACTTTTACTTAAAATCCTTTTCATACAACACGCACCCGTCATTGAGGTACTATGCTACCACAGGCAAGTGATCAAGGGCTGAAACCTTTAAAGTCAGGAAGCAAAGTAAATTATCACCAGTTTACATTAAATACCTCGTTTATTTATAAGAGCAACAGAAAACTAATACAACTTATACTCTAGACAAAAGTACATTAAACAGACCATATATACTTGAATACTTGATTAAATTTCATTTTATGAGTTTCTACATAACATCATGCTATCAACAATCACCATTTCCACACTTTAATACTAAGAAAATGTGTAAAACCACTAAGACAAACCCCAAGATCAACTCACTTACAGACTTTCATATGCCGACCTCTGAATACCTTGGCTCTTTTTCTTACTCTAGTACTCTTCCCCAAACACCCAAAGCATTCACTAATTAGCCTCACAACAGGTATCCATGTGCTCACCAATGCTGGAGTAAAGTAGAAGATACTAGAAGAAAATGTCATATTCCCTCTTGTTTCAGTCTTTTCACATTGAATTTGTCTCTTACAACTAATATTCTTTTTCCTCTCTCCCTCTCTCCCTCTCTCTCTCTCTTCTCTCTCTCCTCTCTCTCTCTCTTCTTCTCTCCCCTCCCCTCCTCTTCTCTCTCTCTCCTCTCTCTCTCTCTCTCTCTCCTCTCTCCTCTCTCCTCTCTCTCTCTCTCTCTCTCTTTCTCTCTCTCTCTCTCTCTGTCTTACGGTACTAAGGAGACCTAAGAATTTACACAAGTATACATTCCCTCCATTTGGGGCTCACCTTTATACCTTCTCTGCCTCATTTAGTTCTTCAATTATTTGCTTATTTCTTAGCTTCCAATTAACATAAGTTCTCAGAATCTCAAAACCTACTTTTTCCTGAGTATTACTATTAACTAAAAAAAAACCATAATAATTTCAACATTAAAATACTGTCAAAAGCGTTCCCTGAAGAGTCACTAAGGTATAATATATAAGCATTAATTATCCTGTTCTTAACTTATTTATATAAATTAACATTAAATAAAATTTAACTTACTATCTTTTTCTTCTGGGATTTTAAATCATCCAATGCTTCATCTAGAAAACAAGATTTAAATGTGAGCTAAATCAAATATTAAGATGCTTAGATATGAGACTCAATCATCATAAATAATATATACATGAGACAAACAAGAAAATGTTCTGAATTTCTCTAAATTTATCACATATGTAGAGATCAAAATTATCAATATTTACCCATACATTTCATATTCTACCTGTATTATACATTTCAAGATTCAGGAAAAATTTAAATGGATTTTATATAGACAAAATTCTTTTTTTAATAGTTTATTTTTGTTTTATGTGCATTGGTGTTTTGCCTGCATGTGTGTCTGTGTGAGGGTGTCAGAATTCCTAGAACTGGAGTTATAGACAGTTGTTGTTTGAATCTTAGATGGTCTTTTAATAAAAACCCAGAGCCAGATATCAGGGTAAAAGCTGGAAGATCAGAGAAGCAGAACAAGCCACAGCCAACCCCACCTCGCCAACTCCTCAGCCAATCCTGTTTCCTCAGACTGGAAGCCTCTGAGTCCTCACCTGAAAGGGTCTCAGCTGAATTGCCTTAGTTCCTGTTTCCTCATGCATTATATACCTTTCTCCACCCTGCTGTCACTTCTTGGGATTAAAGGCGTGTGTGCTTCTCAGTACTGGGATTAAAGGCATGTGCCACCACTGCCTGGCTCTGTTTCAAGTGTGGCCTTGAACTCACAGAGATCCACACCAAGTAATAGGATTAAGGGTGTGTGCCACCACTGTCTGGCCTCTATTTCTAATCTAGAAGCTGGCTCTGTCTTCTGATCCTCTGGCAAGCTTTACTGGGGTACACAATATATCACCACAGTTGTGAGCTGCCATGTGGTTGCTGGGAATTGAACGTGGGTCCTCTGGAAGAGCAGCCAGTGCTCCTAATTGCTCAGCCATCTCTCTTGCCCCTAGACAAAAATTCTTAATGTTTTCAGAAACAACACTTTTACTTTTTTAACATTCCACCCACATTAATTTACAAATACCAAGTGTCTTTTTTTTTTTTTTGGTTTTTCGAGACAGGGTTTCTCTGCGTAGCTTTGCGCCTTTTCCTGGAACTCACTTGGTAGCCCAGGCTGGCCTCGAACTCACAGAGATCCGCCTGGCTCTGCCTCCCGAGTGCTGGGATTAAAGGCGTGCGCCACCACCGCCCGGCCCAAGTGTCTTTTTATATAGTAATAAAGATATTCCGTTTCTAAGAAGTATGTTACTCATTTTAATAAAAATTAAGCTTTTGAAAATCTTTATTATATCTGAGAAGAGACTTACAAAGGGATATCAGTAGCTTTTCAAAATTAAAGATTTCTAAAATTTGCCTGCTTATTTAAGTTGGCATAATGAAACATGAAGAATCACTTCAAAAGATATTCCTTAAGCCAGGCATGGTGCTGCACACTTTTAATCCCAAGGAGAGGCAGAGGCAAAAAGATTTCTGTGAGTTCAAGGCCAGCCTGGTCTGCATAAGGATTTCTAGGTGCCAGAGCTACAAACTGAAACTCTGTCCCAAAAATAATAATGTTTTAAATAAAAATAAATAATTTTGGAAAAATAAGAGAAGTTGGAGAGATGGCTCAGAGATTAAGGGCACTTGTTGCTCTTGCATAGGACCTAGGTTCACTTCCCATCACCCACATGATGGCTCACCACCATCTTTAATTCCAGTTCCAGGGGATCTGACACCCTCCTTTTGACCTCCACTCGTGGTGCACATACATGCATGCAGACAAAACACACATACACATTAAATAAAACCTTAATAAAAGAGGAATCCCCTTACAAATGTATTGTTTCTAGTTTTTCTGTAGAAATAATCAGTAAAAATAAGTAACTCCTGAAGGTTGTTCTCCACCCCCCACATGTACAGTGTGGACATATACACCCACACATGTACAGTGTGGACATATACACCCCCACACATGTATAGTGTGGACATACACACCCACACACATGTATGCCCATACACAACACAATAAATAAATAATGTAGGGTTTTTAAAGAAAAAAATACATGGACTAGAGAACAACTAACATACAGATTTGATTGGTAATCAGATTTAAGTTTAGTGTATTTAAGGACCTGGAGAGGAGCAGCTGCTCAACACTTGCTGCTCTTGCACAGGACTAGAGCTTGGTTCCCAACACCCATATCAGGCAACTCACAACCACCTGTAACTACAGTTCCAATGATCAAACGCCCTCTTCTAGCCTCCGCAGACACCTGCACTACATACATCTGGCATATAAACACACACAGGCACACACACACACACACACACACACACACACACACACACACACACATAATAAATAAAAGTGTTTTTAAGTGGAAAAATTAAGTGTATTCAAATAATGTTTGTTGAAGATTAAGCATGTAATATATTTAAACAGGGTAGAGTTTCCCAAATAAGTATGATAAGGAAAGGTGTGAAAAAAAAAAACAGCAGAGGTGTCTGAAAATAGTGGTTGCTGGGCTAGACCACATATCCTAAACTGGATAGAAGTGAGGTCATATGCAAGGAGGACACTTTAAAGGCCATCTATTTGTACAACCTTATTTACATACTGAATCAAACAAAATATTTTTTTTTTTTTTTTTTTTTTTTTTTTTTGGTTTTTCGAGACAGGGTTTCTCTGTGTAGCTTTGCGCCTTTCCTGGAACTCACTTGGTAGTCCAGGCTGGCCTCGAACTCACAGAGATCCGCCTGGCTCTGCCTCCCGAGTGCTGGGATTAAAGGCGTGCGCCACCACCGCCCGGCCAAACAAAATATTTTTAAAGCAAGTAGCACTTTTTAAACTACTGGAAATTTAATATTTAATATCTGATGTTAATATTTTATTAATATTTCTAAGTATGATTAATTTATTATATTATAATTACTCTATTTTAAGATATACTTCAAAATAATGTAAGCAGCGAAGGTGAAGGCAAAAACAAAATTAAGACAGCCCATGAGATGATAACTGTTTAAGTAGGATCATAGGTATGTAAGAGTTTAGTATACTAAACTTTGTACAGTGGGGAAAAAACAAAAGAAAAAGAAGCAGACCACATGGAAAGTTCATTTAAGATGAATGTATATTTCTCACTGAACACAGAGAAGTCAAGCTGGTGCTTAGCTAGAGCCTTCACTCCTAGGGAAGACTAGTGTTCATGGTACTGAAAGATACTGCCCACACTATAGAGGAAAGAGTCAAACCTCAACCCAGCTACAAGCCATGATCTACATGGTGACCTGTCTGCATGACATGCTAATGCAATAATGGCACAAAAGTTGTGGGAGTGACCAATAGCTCTCTGCTTGGATATAAGGCCCACTCCACAAGCTGGAACTCATGCCTGACACTGCTCAGGTGGCCAAAAACCTGAGACTAGACATGCCATGGATCTAGGAGAAAACCAAATACTATTGTTCTGCTAAAACAGTGGTTTTCAACCTGTGGGTCACAATTCCTTAAGAGGTCAAATGACCCTTTCACAGGGATCGCATATCGGATATCCTGCATATCTGATGTTTACATTATGATTCATAACAGAAGCAAAATTACAGTTATGAAGTAGCAATAAAAATAATTTTATGGTTAGGGCTCACCACAACATGAGGAATGAAACTAAGGGGTCGCAGTATTAGGAAGGTTGAGAACCACTATGCTGAAGGAATCTAGCAATAAAATGACTCCTAATGACATTACGCCATACCCATAGATCAGTACCTCACTCAAGCATCATCAGACAACCTTTCTCTTGAAGTACATGGGAACTAACACAGAGACTCACAACCAGACAATGTGCAGAAAGTGAGAGGCTTTGGAACAGTCAGTTCTAAATGGGATGTCTTCATCAAACTCCTTCCCTTGGGCTCAGAGAGCTATGCAGAAGAGGCAGTGGAAAGATGTAAGAGCCAGAGGGGATGGGTGACACCAAGGAAACAGTGTCTTCCAGACACATCAGGACGGATATGAACTCACAAAGAACTCCCTGGTGGCAGCATGCACAGGGCTCGCACAGATTCAAGCCGGACATGGTTCAGTGCGCAAAGGTAGAAGTGGATACAATCTCCCATCCCTAACCAAAAAGCTATCTCCAAATAACATCTCTTGTAAAGGAAAAATTAGTTTTCTCCAGTAGAGTCTCACCGGGCATGTTAACCACACTTAAGGGTTATTTTTTATAGGTTTTCTGTCTCATATTTGCTTTGTCTAGACATATATTTTTTTTTGGTCTTACTGGTCTTTTGCTTATATATCATAATTTTTGATTTTGTGTTATGGGTTTTGTTTTTGCATGTATCTGAGTGTGTGTATGAGTGTTTCTTGTGATTTTTCTTTGTTTTTGCTTTTCTTATTCTTGCTTTTTTAAAATTGTCTATTTGTTTTCTAAAGAAAGAAAAAAAAGGGTGTGGAGTTGGCTAGGTATGGAGGTGGGGAGGATCTGAGGGAAGGAAAACAGTGATCAGAATATATTGTATGAAAATTTTTTTCAATAAATGTATAACTGATTAAGATATTTTGTAAGACCTGAAAATCTTTAAAACTTGCACATATATAAAACATACACAGAAGTTGATTATTATATTTTTATATTTTAATTAAAAGAAAGCTAAAGGGCTGTGAGGATGATGAGAGTAATTCAGTTAAAAGGAAAGTCAGAAGGCTAGAGAGATGGCTCTGTGGTTAAAAGCACTAGCTACTCTTCCAGAGGACCCAGTTCGATTCCTAGCACACATAGTCACTCATAACCATCTTTAACCAGGGGGTCCAGTAAACTCTCCTGGACTCCACACGTACCAGGCAGCACACACATGATGCACACAAACACGCAGGTAAAATACCCATATACATAAAATAATAAAAGGAATAAAAGGAACAAGAATATGTGTGCTAGATTTTACTCTGTACCAATGTTTCCCACAAAGATTAATTTAACAAATACAATTTGCCTTTATTTAAGAAAATGTTTTGTGTAAAAAAAAAATCTAAATAAGAACTGACACATATTAAAAATAGAAATTTCTTACATTCATAAACTTTGTTTTACTGTATAGCAAACAATTCTGATACTTACCACATTATGATCTCATACACACTATGATCTCATAAACCATTTCATAACTGGCTTATAAAATATCACACAGTAAGATGTTTGCTTATTTAATACATAGTTATAAAAAATTATGGAACTTAAACTTACTATTTCTCTCTGTTCTCTTGGAAAAGAAGAAAATAAGCACAGTTCTTATGGTCCAGATGCTAGAGAGGAAGCAAAATTCAAAACAAAATCATCATTACAAGAGGTGAATCAGAATCCATAGAATTGAATTAGGGTTAGGTATTTCTCTATATATATATTGAAAATAAAAAAAAAATACTATATTCTGTCGAGGAATACCAGAAGCTTTCCTGAGCTTTCAATAGAGGAGTTCTAAACCTAAACTCCACGGGCCTTCAACTGCCTTTGTATATATGAGTACATTTCTCTACAGAAACCATTGTTTTTGTCAACTTCTAAAGGGTCTATGAATCCCCCAAGACATTAAGAACAATATTACAGAATGCTTTCTATTATTAATATTTATTTTATTTTTATTTATTTGTATGTGTCTGTTTATTTGTATGTGCCTATGTGTGGTGATGCCCATGGAGGCCAGAAGAAGGTGTAAGATCACAGGTAGCTGAAGTTACAGTTGTAAACCTATTAACATAGATGCTAGGAACTGAACTCAAGTCCTCTGCAAGAGCAGCACAAGTCTTAACCACTGAGCCATCTCTCCAACCTCAAGATGCTTTCTAAATAAGTATCAATTCCAAAAAATTTTATTATATGTTCCCTTGTGTTAACAGGCAAGCGTGTTCTTTTCCAAACATGAGCATTATTACACAATTCACTGGAGAGATCTTCTTTATGCAACAGAATAAGCTATCTGGAGAAAGAAATTAGCCAGGGGAGGGTAGAGCCTTACTTTCAAATAAACACTTGATAAAAATTAGCTAAATGACTCCTTTTAAAATTCTATGGTAGCCGGGTGGTGGTGGCGCATGCCTTTAATCCCAGCACAAGGGAGGCAGATGCAGGTGGATCTCTGTGAGTTCAAGGCCAGCCTGGTCTACAGAGAGAGTTCCAGGAACAGCCAAGGCTATACAGAGAAATCCTGTCTCAAAAAAGATTTTATGGTAATAACTCTTTAGGCTCCTATTATATCCAAAAATATTAAAAGAATTAAGAGGAACTCAAAATAATCCTCTCACAAGGTCATTTCTTCAATTCAGTATAAATATAGAAAAGACCAGACCAACCAGATGGCTCTGTGGGTAAAGTGCCATAAATCCGACAACTTGAGTTCACTCCTCTGAACCCACATAGCCAACCCCACAATATTACCCTCTGTCCTTCATAAATGTGCCATGACATGTATGCAACACCCCACAAACACACACACAAATAAAAAGATTAAAAAATTAAATGGAATATTAATAGCAATGAAATTAAATCAATAATAATAAAGAACTATATCTCTCAAATGTAACAGGCCCGGGTAGGTTTACTAGTGAACTCTCCTTAACTTTTAAGAACCACCATCCATGCTTCTTATACTACTTCATAAACAGAAGGGAGATAACCCTACCAAATGTTTTTGAAGCCAGTATTATCTTGATACCAAAACCATAAAAAAAAGACAAAACAAAAGAAAACTATAGGCAAGTTTCCCTAATGAACACAGAAATATGAAAATTCTCAACAAAATATTTACAATTCAAAAAAGCATCAAAAAGATCAACTACCATGTCAAGCTGGTTTTGTTCCAGAAACATAGGGATGGTGCAACACACACAATCAATAAATATAGTGCATCACATTAACAGACTCCAGGATAAAATCTAATACTCCTTCATTGAAAAGGGGTGGGGGGACAGCTCTGAGGAAAGTAGGACTGGAAGGAATAATAAAGCTATATAAATAAACCTATAGCCAACACTACACTAAGTGGGGAAACTCAAAGCATTACCTAAAATCAAGAGCAAGAAATGGTGTCTACTATCTCTACTCTGATATAGAGTGCTTGCTTATAGTCATCTACAGCACTAAGACAAGATAAGGAAATAAAAGGGGACAAATAGGGAAGGAAAAAGCCAAAGTATCCTTATTTGCAGGTGACAGAACTCTACACATAAGAGATCCTAAAGACTCCACAAAAAAAATTGGTAAACATTTTCATCAAAGACGCAGGATACAAAATTAACATTGAATAATCAGTAGCCTCCCTGGGTACAAATAGTAACTGTGCTGACAAAGAAATCAGGGCAACAATCCATAACTGCCTCAAGAAAAAAAATAAAGTACTCTGGAATAAACTTAGCCAAGGAAATGCAAGATCTCTACAACAAAAACTTTGTAAACTGAAGAAATTTAAGAAGACACTAGAAGTTGGGAAGGTTTCCCCAGATACATGCTCATGGACAGGAAGAATTAAGATTGAGAAAACGACTGTACTACCAAAAGCAATATACAGACTCATTCAACGCAACCTCCATCAAATTTCCAACATCATTGCTCACAAAAATGTGTGTGTGTGTGTGTATGTGCGTGTGCGCACGCATGCTCACTAGAGATATTGTCATACCTAATTGCAAGTTATGCTACAGAGCTATAGTAATAAAAATACCATGTTGTAGGATATTTGATCACACTGTGAACCCCGAAATTACATTGTTTACTGCGGAAAAAAAAAACTGTTTCTAGTTGTGGTGTGGCTCAGCCCTAGACACACCTTTAATTCAAGAGCTTTCTGCTTTAATATTGTAAACAGGCAGGATTAAATAAAGTCAACCATAGGTTAAGAGGAAGAGCAAGCAACCAGTTGACAGGAAAAAAACCAGAGAGTAAGAGGGAGGAGAACAGACAGAAAGACACACAGAAAGTAGAAGGGAGGACATTCAGTTTGAGGAATCTTGGTTGAGAAGGCATAGGAGAAAGTCCTTTTATGGAACGTCAGCAGGGGAGGAAGGTCAGCTGGGTGCTTTCTCTGCCTCTCTGAAACAGCAGGCTTTCACTCCAGCATCTGGCTCCCAAGTCTTTATTGGTAAAATCGAACAATTAAGATTTAGAGAAAAACAACAATACCATGGTACAAGCGCGCGCGCGCGCACACACACACACACACACACACACACACACACACACACACACACACACACACACCCAATGGAACAGAGGACCCAGATATAAACCCACATAGTGACAGCCACCTGCCCAGCTGACTTTTGACAAAGATGCCAAAAATACACACTGAAGAAAAGATAGCCTTTTCAGCAAATGACACAGGAAAAACTTGACATCCTCAAGTAGAAGAATGGAAACCAGATCATTATTTCTCACCCTGTAAAAAAAATCCAATCAACACCAGGTACTGGAGAGATGGCTCAGAAGTTAACTGCGCCTGTTGCTCTATCATGAGGACAGGAGTTCCAATCAAAGCACCCCTACCAGGCACTTCACAAACATCTCCAAGGAATCCAAAATCCTCGGGCCTTCTTAGCCACGGGCACACTCTCATACGTACGTATATACGTACACGTACACACACACACACACACACACACACACACACACACACACACACGAAGTCTTTTTAAAAATCAACTCCAAATGGTTCAGCAATCTTTGTAAGACCTAAAACTCTGAAACTATTAAGAAAAAAAGAAGGGAAAACACTTCAATATACAGACAAAGGCAAAGACTTTCTCAATGGGATTCCAGTATCAAAGAAATAATGCTAACAATTGACTATTGGGATCTTGGGAAAGTGAAGCTGCAGTACAGCAAAGAAAAACAATTAAGTGAAAAAGACAGCGCACAGAATGAGAGGGAAATGGTGCCTAATTATGCATCTGACAGAAGATCAGCATGTAGAATATACAAAGAACTCAAACATCAAAACAACAAGAAGTCAAACCACCAAATCAATAGATGGGTGTGGTGGTTTGAAAGAAAATGGCCCCCAAAGGGAGTGGCACTATTAGGAGGTGTGGCCTTGTTGAGGAAGTGTATCACTGTGGGGGCAGGCTTTGGGGTCTTTTTCCTCAAGCTTCCCTCAGTGTGACAGTCAGTTGACTTCCTGTTTCCTGCAAGATGTAGCACTCGCAGCTCCAGCACGTCTGCCTACACACTGCCATGCTCTCTGTCATGATGATAATGGACTGAACCTCTGAAACTGTAAGCCATCACCCCAATTAAATGGCCAATAAACATGGAAAATGTTCAACCTCACTAGCTACCAAAGAAATGCAAATTAAAACTATGCTGAGATTCCACTTCTCATACCAGTCAGACTGACAGTCATTAAGAGAACAACAAATGCTCTGGCAAACACACAGATAAAAGGGAACCCTTATATATGCTGCTGGTGGGCATGTGAGCTAATCCAGCCATGTAAGCTATCATGGAAGTTCCTGAAAAATCTGCCAACAGATCTACCCTAAGACACAGGTCTATCAATCCAAGGTATTTACTAGAAGGTCTCCAGGCCAACACAACAGAGATACCTGCCTATCAGTGTTTATCATAACACTATTCACAATAACTAAATTGTAGAATCAATACCTAAATGATCATCAGTAGAGAAATAAAAAAAATGTGGCATACACACACAATGGAATTTTTTCAGTCATAAACAAGAACAGTCAGGCGACAGTGGCACATGCCTTTAATCCCAGCACTTGGGAGGCAGAGGCAGGCGGATCTCTGTGAGTTTGAGGCCAGCCTGGTCTACAGAGCGACTTCCAGGACAGCCAGGGCTACACAGAGAAACCCTATCTTGGAAAAAAACAAAAAACAGAAAAGGCAGAGATTAAATAGAAATTATCCAGAAATATTGCATTTACAAAGAGCATTGTTTCTATGACAAAGAGGGAGAAAAGAGATTCAGCCCTGTGAGAAAAATGCAGTTGCCTAACTTCACTGGCAAGGAAAAGATACAAACACTTCATACAAAAGCCTAGATAGTAAGGAAAATTCTAGTCAGTCTAGAACACAGGTGAAGATATTCCATTCATCCCACACAAATCTCCCACAAATAATGGCACAAAATAAAGTAAACAAAATATATGGATGTCTTTTTTATAAAACTAAAAAAAAGTATATTATATTTCAAAACTAAAATTAACTTCTTATCAGCAAAGTGCACTAAACTTTAAACCAGAAATTCAAAAAGAGACTGGTATACAGGATCATAAGATTTCTAAAATCTAGTCCT